ATTTTTCCTTCCATGATCTTTATCGTTTTTGATTTTATATTTAGGTCTTTGATCCATTTTGAGTTAGCTTTTGTGCATGGTGGGTCTTGCTCCACTTTTTTGCAGATGGATATCCAGTTATGGCAGCACCATTTGTTAAAAGACTGTCTTTTCCCCAATTAACAGACTTTGGGCCTTTGTCAAATATCAGCTGCTCACAGGTGAATTTACATCTGGATTCTCTATTCCGTTCCATTGGTCTATGTATCTGTTGTTGTACAAGTACCAGGCTGTTTTGACTACTGTGGCGGTATTATAGGTTCTAAAATCAGGTAGTGTGAGGCCTCCCACTTTGTTCTTCTTCTTCAGTAATGCTTTACTTATCTGGGACCTCTTCCCTTTCCATATGAAGTTGGTGATTTATTTCTCCATCTCATTAAAAAATGCCATTGGAATTTGGATCAGGATTGCATTGTATCTGTAGATCGCTTTGGGTAGAACTGACATTTTCACAGTGTTGTCTTCCTATCCATGAGCATGGTATGTTTTCCCACTTATGCAGGTCTCTTTTGGTTTCTTGCAGTGGTGTGTTGTAGTTTTCTTTGTACAGGCCTTTTATGTCTCTGGTTAGATTTATTCCTAAGTATTTTATCTTCTTGGAAGCTATTGTAAATGGTACTGATTGGGTGAGTTCCTTTTCGAAGTTCTGTTTGTTGGTGTAGAGGAATCCAAGTGATTTTTGTATGTCTATCTTGTATCCTGATACTTTGCTGAAATCATCTATTTGTTCCAGTAGTTTTCTTGTGGATTCTTTGGGGTTTTCTGTGTTTAAGATCATGTCATCTGCAAATAGGGATACTTTTACTTCTTCCTTACCAATCTGGATGCCCTTTCTTTTTCTAGCCTAATTGCTCTGGCTAGGACCTCAAGCACAATGTTGACTAAGAGTGGTGATAAAAGCCATCCTTACACGACATCCTTGAAAAAACAAAACTATAGTGATGGAGAACACATTGCCAGGGATTAGAGTTCAGGAGAGGAAGTGACCATAAAGGGATAGAAAGAGGGAGGTTTTTTGGTTGATGGAACTGTTTTGTCTCCTGATTGTGGGGTGGTTATACAAACCTATATATGTTAAAATTCATAGAAATGCACACCAAAATAAAGTCAATTTTACTATATAATTATTTAAACAATAAAATAAAAATAAATTTAGTTTGTACATAACTAATGTAATGAAGATTTACTGTATTTGCCAGAGGAGGAAGACTTGAGAGTGGGTGGTAGTTGGTGGAGGGATGGATGTGGGGGTGAAAGATGCATTCTTCTTTCCATTTTCTTCAGCATTTATTCAGTTGTTTGGGGCACAAGGCTGTCTTGTGCACAAATTACACTTAAAGATGTTTGGAATAAAAGGGCAAAATAAAGGCTAATTTCAAGAATACTTCAAAATACGTGGAAATAGACTGAAGAATTGTAGAAGATGCTGCCTTTTCATCTCACTGAGCTTACCTTAGCAAAGCAAAACATTTGGGGTTCATCTAAACGTTACGGAGCCCTGGTGGCACAGCGGTTAAGAGTGACAGCTGCTAACCCAAAAGGTCAGCAGTTCGAATCTTCCAGCTGCTCCTTGGAAACCTTATGGGGCAGTTCTACCCTGTCCTATAGGGTTGCTATGAATTGAAATAGACTCCATGCCAACAGGTTTTGTTTTATTTTTTTTTGGTCTAAACATTACACACAATACAAATTCTTTCTGTACTATATTCTCTGACTAAAAACTGGGCAGGGTAAACTTGTGTGTTTGTCTGAAAGAAAATGTGGAAATATTTCTTACAGCATATTTAGTGTTTTAGGGTAAAAAAATGTTATATTGAAAATAAAGTAAAGGTCCAAAACTTCTTTTAAGGAGCCATTACAGCAAAAAAGTAAATAAAAGTAAAAATCATTAACTTATTATGTGATGTAAGTCTTTATTGTGAAAATGAGATCACCACATCTAAAAAGATAAAGGATGTACAATAATGAAATAAGGAATTTTGGCAATGATTATCATCAGGTGAAAGGCTGATGGGAAGCTTTGCAATAGATGAATCAGGCTGACAACACCTGAACCAACAATCTAACATCACATAAAGTAGGACAGCCAGACACTGTCTCTTCTAAGTGATAAAAAAAGTACACAGCACCACTTATGAAAAGTTTCTAGTCCTCTACCCCAAAGGACAAATGACTAGCTACTTCAACAAAGAAATGGCATTAAAAACGGGGGGCGGGGGGGGGGTGCTGTTAATAGTTTAAGAGACTCATCAACCAAATGCAATGTGTGGATCCTCTTAGATCCTGATTCAACAAATCAACTGTAAAAATTTATTTCTGAGACAACTGGGGAAATTTGAAATGGAGTGGGTATTAGTTGATATTTAGGAATGACTAATTTTGTTAGGTGTGACAATGGTATTGTCACGTGTATAAAAATATACTTATCTGTTAGAAATGCTTAGGTATTGATGAATTAATGATCTGCCTTAGAATATACCACTGTAGGGTGGGGAGAGGTTAAGAATGAGGGTAAAGGTGACATAAGATTGGAAAATTGTTACGTATGTTGAATGTGGGGCTCGTTACGCTACTTTATTCTTGTGTAGATGAAAATTTCTACAATAAAATATTTTTTAAAACCCTGAGGAAAGCATTAGAAATGAATATTTGAAGCAGAAATTAATACATTACAATACAGAACTCCAGTACAATTGATCAGTAAGTCTAAGAGCTGGTTCTTTGAAAAATAAAACTCAGTGAAACCACCAAATCAGGAAAAGACAAAAACACAAATGCACACAATTAGGAATTAGATAACTAGAGATAGAGAAAAAATTTAAAAGTTATTAAACCTGAAAATCTGGAATAATTTTCTAGAAATATAACTTAACAAAACAGAGTCAAAGGGTAAAACATGTAAAAAGAGCAGCTATTCTGCAGGCCTTGGCTTAGCTAATCCAGCTTTTAATTTTCCAGACCTCTGTGAACTTTGATCTTGGCATTACTCTGGGTTTTTGCTGCACCAGTATACTTTAGATGTTGTGTCATCTGTATGAGGCTGTGGATTCCACAGCTCTGTTGTTTTTAGAAAACTGGTTCCTCTTTTATATTTTTGAGAAACGAACAAACAAAATTATTTCAATGGCATTTTGGGAGGTAGAAGAGATTCATCTTTATCATACCCCTTGAACTGGAAGTCTATTCTGTATGATACAACATGGTTTCTACGATAAACAGATTTTATTTAGAGCCCCTCTTCTTTAACTGTAAAGAAAACAGTACTTGCCCAAAGAGGGCATAATATTCATATTCACAATTCTTAACACTGTTAAAGGCTAACAATTTCTATAACTTCTCAAGACATCTCTGGGCAAGGAAAGGTCAGAAATTCTTTGTGAAAACCTAGCAATTCTCTATAACAGATACAGTGAGTCAGTAATGGAGGGTGGATTCCCAACTGAGTAGCCCTTGTCCTCAATAAAAGGGAAGTCCCAGTCAAAGGGCACACTCACTCTCCTTTCTCATCAGAAATTCCTCGATGTCCCAGAAGGCTTTGGCCTAATCCTAATTGGAATTTGCTTACATCTTCAGTCTAATAGATCAAAATAAGATATGAACAGTACTCAACCACCTCATTTGATCCCTCTCAGTAACATCTCTGTGAAGCAGCAACATCAGGGGTCATTCTCCCTCTTACACAAAGAAGGAAACTGAGAGAGAAGTGAAGTGTTAACCAAGGTTTAAAAACAAACAAAAAGCACTAGGAATGGAAGAATAAGGAGACTCTGAATGCTAAGTATATATCACTGTGCAATTTTAGATCCCTACCCCTATCCTCCAGCTGGGAATCTATGTACATAAAATATGTACAGCACTCAAGATTAATCGATAATCTCAGCCCCCTCATCCATAAATCTGCACTTACAAATATAGCCCTTGCTGTGAGCAGCCATCTAAGATACTCCACTGGTCTCACCCCTTCGGGAGCAAGGGAAAATGAAGAGAGGATACAAGGAAAAGATTAGTCCAAAGGACTAATGGACCACAGCTACCAAGGGCTCCACCAGACTGAGTCCAGTACAGCTAGATGGTGCCCGGCTGCCACCACTGACTGCTCTGACCGGGATCACAACAGAGGGTTCTGGACAGAGCTGGAGAAGGATGTAGAACAAAATTCTAATATACAAAAAAACACCAGATTTACTGGCCTGACAGAGACTGGAGAAACCCCAAGAGCATGGCCGCCAGACACTCTTTTAGCTCGGTGGTGAAGTCACTCCTGAGGTTCAGTCGGGGATTGGACAGCCTCATAAAACAAAATGGGACTAATGAGGCACAGCAGTCCAGGGACAAGGACTGGAAGGCAGAAGGGGACAGGAAAGCTGGTGATAGGGAACCCAAGGTTGAGTAAGGACACTGTTGACATGTAGTGGGGTTGTTAACCATTGTCATAGGGCAATATGTGTACTAACTGTTTAATGAGAAACTATTTTGTTCTATAAACCTGCATCTAAAGTGAGAACAGCAGCACAACTGAAGAACGTAATCGACATCAATGACTTGTACATGTAGAAATTTTTGAAATGGTGTTATCTTTGGCTATGTATATTCACCAAAAAAAAAAAAAAAAAAAAGGTCCTCCAAGGTCGAGAAGGGAGAGTGTTGACATGTGGGGCTGTTAACCAATGTTACAGAACAATATGTGTACTGACTATTTAATGAGAAACTATTTGTTCTGTAAACGTTCACAATTAAAAAAAAATTAAATAAATACAGCCCTTGGTATGGTCTTTACCTCAGTTTAGCATCAAATTGTTCTCTCTTCAACTCAAGGCCCATCTCCATTTTAGACTATACACTCTAAAACAGATGGGCTAAAACAGGCCACCAGAAAGATCCTTGGGGCAGAAGGCTCAAAAATACAAAGGGAAAGCCAATTCCAGGGATGCTATAAACATTTAATTTTATTTACTTTTTTAAGAAAGTAGCTTCAGAAAAAGAGGAAAATAATCTAGATCATTTATTTATATATATATATATATATTTATTTATATATATATATATTTTTAATAAAAACCTTTACATAATCTTCATGCATAAAGACCCAGGGGTGACCATGTGACAGCCCTAACACCAGCTGTCTCAGGCCATTACCTGGGCTTCCCATAGCTGGCAGCAGTGAAGCATACGCCCTCTGTCTACCCCTAAAGCCCAGCTGCTTGCCTGCGTCAGTGATGGTTTACCTTCTGGGAGGGCAGGAAACGCTTTGGGGCTACACTGGGAGGGGCAGGGAGGGCTACCCAACCTGTCAAATCCAGACACGAGGACTAGCAAGATAAGAACCAGGGACCAAACCGAGTTCTGGGTGCTTTGGCTTCCCAGAGACATGGGATATGTGATCAAGGGCTGCTGCACGTAAGGAAGGTATGGTGGACATGGAACATTCTGGGGCAGGAACAAAGAAGCCTTGAAGATCGATCCCTCCGTGGCAGGCATGCACTTCTACCCTAAGTGAGACAGAAGACTCTGATAAGATTCCTCACTCAGTTCAACCTCTTTTGACCCCTAGGCCCAGTGTTTACATCTATTTAAGAGACAGACTCCTCTCTCCTTTCTGTGGCTAGTTCATCTGTAAAGGAAGGATAGTCCTAGATCAATACATTTGTCCCATTACCTGTCCCACTCCTTCTAAACAGTCCTAGTATAAAAGGGCTGGGTAGGGGAAGGGTAGCAGGTTGACAAGGAGGGTCACAAGATCCAGAATGGCTAGGTGTGAAAAAGGATTCTCTGGTTCTTTGGGGGATTCTGCCAAAGGTGCTTTATTCACCATTTTTAAAAAGGGGGAGGAAAAAAAAAAAGAATGGTCTTAAGGATGGTAAAAGGACACTTGGCTCCTTTTTTGGGTTCCAGAAGCCCTTATGTTATATTCATTATTAAGAAAAGCCCTGAACAACTGGAGGATGCTGCTTGCAGCAGCAGGCAGGGAGGGTGGATCCCACAGCCCAACCCAGGGAATGCAGGGAGCTCTGTGTGGTGAGTGTGAATGAGCATGTGAGTGTGGTAGAAACAGCCTAGAGCCTCACTGGCTTCCAACAGTCAGTTCCCGAAGGTAGGACTGTGTGAGACTGCGCAGTTCTTCCAAGGCATAGTCCTCAGGCATGGGGAGCCTGCCGATGTGGGGAGCCAGCAGACGCAAAGGAACTCGCTGAGGGTCTGGCGTTGAGTCGGAGGTTGCATCAGGGGCATGTTGGAGGCTCAGTACCACCCGCAGCAGGTTTGCTATACGTTTGGCCATGTCTACAGAGAAAACGTGGAGTGAGCGCTGAGAATGGGAGTGGGGAGGGTGGTGGTGCAGTGGATAATCATAAAGGCAAGAAGCAGATAGGCAGGACAAGGGGAGAGGCGAAAGGCTTACCTGACTGAGCGAGGCGGTCCTTGGCATTGTAACACTGGATCTGCTCTATCCGGTTGCACAGTGAGGTCACTTTGGTGTGTAATTGCTCTAGCTCATAACCGGAGCAATCCACCTGCAAAGAAACAGAGGAATCAATTAGGCCAAGAGGAGTTCTCATCACCCCAATCTCACCCATAGGCTCTCTATGCAAAACCCTGAAACGACAGTGAGGGGAGGGAGGGAGAACACCAAGAAGCTGAGTGGCAGTGCCATCCAGCCCAGTCTCTGAGGACAAGGTACTACTTTAGCAGTAATACACAACAGTGTACAAAGCCTTGCATTGGGCAAGTCTTGAGATCACCATTCATAAACATGTGACTAGCAAGATATAACATGGCACCAAAAACCTAGTTTGTTCTCACAGGTAAATCTGGGTTCAGAGAGATAGTATGATTTCTTAAGAGCACTCAGCTAGTAAGAGGCAGTGCCAAACCTAGCATTTAATTTAGATCTCCTAACTCCAAGTTCACAGCCCTTTCTAAAATACTGTAGGGCCCTCTTCTCACTCTGTATCCTTTCCCTATGTGTTGTAATCTACTCCTATGGCTCCAATTATGATTGCATATGACTCCTAAATCTTTATCTCCAGCCTAATATACCAATCTTGAGCTCTAAATCATTACATGTAACTCCCTGAACATTTCTATCTGGATATCTCACAGGAACTCAAATGCCATTTTCCATACCTAGACTCATAATCTTCACCCATTTTCATTAAATCTGCTCTTCTTCCAGCCGGTGTTGCCCATCTTAGTGAATGGTACCATAATCTAACCAGAGAGAAACCTGGGCATCAGTCTTGACTATTCCTTCTCCCTCTTGCCTCTACTCAATTAATCCTGCTACTACTTTTCTTACGTTTCTAATATCCATCCCTCTTTCCAGGGCCACTGCCCTAGCTCAGGGCACAATTACCTCTCACCACTCTACCTTCAGTGTCATCCCCTCTATATTCATTTTCCTCCCATTCTGTAGCCAGCGATCTTCCTAAAAAGGAAATCTATTTATTTTTACTCATTGCTTATATTCTGAATACTTTCCAGCAGCATCTTATTCTCATTTGTCTCAAATATGGTTCTTGGCTAGGTCCTCTCTCAAACTCTTACAATAAACCATCCTACTTATTAAGTTTCCTATCACCTCTTCCTCCTCCAGTGGCTCACTCAGCCCTTCCAAGAACTATCTCTCCCTCACAGAATCCACATTCTTTTTAGGGCTTAGCAGAATCTACTATTTAATATCATATAAGTATTGTCCCTTTCATCCACCAGAATCCAGTATTTACCTTGGCTTAAAAAGGTGGTGAGTAAGATAAGATGATGTCTTTATTCTCATGGAGCTTACAGAAAACGAACAAGAAAATATCAGATAGTAATAAATCTTGAAGAATCGTAAGACAAGCAAATTCAAACAGGTTGATGTGGAGGAGAGAAATTGGGTGGCCACTTTAGACTGGGTGATCAAGAAAGGCTTCTTTGAGGAGGTCATATCTAAGTTGAGACCTGGATAACAAGGAGAGGACCAATCTTGCCAGACAAAAAGAAAAGCAAGGGTAAAAGTCCTACAGTGGGAACTAAAAGGTTTGTGTGGTAAATGCAGGGTAAGGAGGAGAGTAGAACAAGAAAATACTGGAAAGTAGGCAGGGGCCAAATCATATACAGCAGGGGATCTTAACCTAGGATATTTGGAATTCAAAGGGTTTGTGACCTTGGAATTGAAAAAAAAATTGTATCTTTTTTTTACTAACATCTAACTAAAATTTAGCATTTCATTATGATGTAGGTGTTAGCAGTAAATATGACTTTTCACCAACAGAAATCACAGCTATTTTCATACCACATTAAAGTTGACGATCTTAAAATGTAGTACTTTAAAATTACAGTAATTATGAGATCCACTGCTAGAGCTTATTATTTAACGTTAATAAAGAACATCTCACTACACTAAAATTTTTTAATATTTTGATAACTGTATTTTAATATAATTGGTTTCCTCTATAATTCTATATATGTAAATTTTCTGAATTTAAAAATGTTATTCTTAGAAGAGATCCATGGACTTCATTAGACTGCCAATGGGGTCCATGGCACAATAAAAGTAAGAACTACTGATGTAGAACTTTTCTAAGACTTGCTAAGGGGTCTGGATTTTATTTTAAGTGAGATGAGAAGCCACTGGAAGGTTTTAGACATGAGAGTGAGATGATTGCTCCGGCTGCTGTATGGAGAATGAATTTTAGGGGAGCAAGAGGAGAATCTGAGAGACCAATTAGGTAGTGTCATGGATTGAACTGTGTCCCCCAAAGATATCTGTCAACTTGGCTACCCCATGATTCCCAGTATTGTATGACTGTCCACCCTTTTGTGACCTGATGTGATTTTCCTATGTGTTGTAAATCCCATCTCTATGATGTTAACGAGATGGGATTAGCAGCAGTTATATTAATGAGGCAGGACTCAATCTACAAGATTAGGTCTTAAGCCAATCTTTTGAGATATAAGAGAAGCCAGCAGAGAGAAAGGGGGACGTCACATCACCAAGAAAGAAGCACCAGGAGCATAGCACTTTCTTTGGACTCGAGGTCCCTGCGCTGAGAGGCTCCTTGACCAGGGGAAGACTGATGACAAGGACTTTCTTCTAGAGCTGACAGAGAAAGCCTTCTCCTGCAGCTGGTGCCCTGAATTCGGACGTCTAGTCTCCTAGACTGTGACAGAATAAATTTGTTTGTTAAAGCCACCCACTTGTGGTATTTCTGTTACAGTAGCACTAGATAACCAAGATGGGTAGCTACTATAATGGTCCAGGTGAGAGACATTTGTAGCTTCACTACATCTACATGGCTGTCCTTCCCACTCCACACTCCCAAACCACTGAATCTATCAAAAGTTCCCTGTATTAAGCACAAAGATGTCTCTGACATCTACCTCTACCCAAGTTGCTCCTTCTGCTAGAGCACTTTCCCACCGCTCCTCCTTTTTTATCCCTGAGGTCAGAGTGTAGATGTCATTTCTAGAAAGCCTTTCTTGACTCACTTGGACTAGGTTAGGTATTCTCTTTATGTGCTGCTATAGTACTCTTTGCTTAGCCCTACCATAACACTTATCACTCTACAGTAATTACTAGTTTATGTATATATACCTCCCCCATGAAATTATTAGTCTAGGGAGGGCAGAATACATACTATTTACTTTTATATCCCCCAAATCCACCAGTGCTTGGGTCATGCAAATGAATAAATTTATTAGTGTGCAATTAGAAAAGGGTTTCTTCAGTGATTATTTAGGGATGATCTTTCAATCCATCCTAAAAGTGAAACACTGAATTATGCCTATTATGTGACAAGCACTATGCTAAAAGCTGGTACTTTGATGATGATGACAGATTAACTAGTACTGAGCATTTAGAATATGTAAAGTACTATGCTAAACACTTTATATATATTTCATTTAATCTTCATGACAACTTTGTTCAAATATGTATTACAAATCACCAACCCCCCACTTTACGATGAGAGACAGAAAGTTAATTAACTTGCTCAAGGTCACACAGCTAGTGAGTGTGGTAGCCAGGAATTAAACTTAATAGTCTGACTCCAGAACTTGAGCTCTTAACTGCAATACTGTATTGCCTTTAACTTTAAGACAAGGAAGACATCCCCAAAAGGAGCTCACAGGTTATCTAAGGAAAGATGTGAATAAGTAACTAAAAATATGGTCTGAGAGGTACTCTAGTAGAAAAATGTACTGATTGTTTTGGTAGTAAAAAAGAAAGTGCAATTACCTTTTCCTGGAGGAAAAGGGAGGGAGAAGTAGAGCTAACAGCAATCTAAATCTTCAAGGATGAGGATGAGTATGTAGGTAAAGAGTGGAATAAGAGTGTTGGAAGCACTGCAAGTAATTTAGTGTGAGTGGAGCAGGTTGGCAAGGCTGGTAAGAGTGATAAGAGTTAAAGCAGGAGTGAAAGGTGGAGACCCCTAAAGGGGCTTGAATCCTACATTTATGAGTTTGGTCTTCGTGCTGGAAGCAATGGAGACCTATCTTATGACTACTGAGACTGATCTAAGACATTTTAATGAAGACTAAAACAACCATAATACTTGCAATTTTTAAAAATGTCAAATGATGTGTGGAACAATTATCCTCACCAAATCTCTGACCTTACTGTATCTTTCATCTGAGCTTCTCATTCAAACTAGGGCTGGACAAGAGGAGGAGACTAACTATGGACAAGCCTCAGAAATGCCTACTGCACACACTAGTTGTCTACTATACACACTATTTGATAAGAAACATGAAAAAGTGTTTTGAAGTTTTAATACAACTGTCAAAATGACTACATGAAATTAACTACTACCTACTACTGCCATCGAGTTGATTCTGACTCATAGTGACCCTAGAGACAGAGGACAACTGCCCCACACAGTTTCCAAGGAGCGCCTGGTGGATTCTAAGTGACGACCTCTTGGTTAGCAGCCGAAGCACTTGACCACTATGCCACCAGGGTTCCATTACATCAAATTAGCGTCATCAAAATGTTCCTCCTGCAGAGTAGGTGCTATCTCTGCCAATGAGTTTTATGAGTGGTTGCTAAGACTTTATGAGGCCTCTGAAGTTTTAAGGGCTTGTGGAAAGGAAAACCAGGCAGTCATTTAAGGAACTCAGGTACCTGCTGGATACGGTGGAGCATTTCAATGACCCGAATATAGTCCAGATAAACAAGCCCAGATGTATCCCAGTCCTGAATTAGGCTGCTGCGCTCTGGAGGTGCCAGGTCTTCCAAAAACCCCTTCAGGTAGTCATAGTTCTCATTAATGATGGCATCTGAAGAAATAAAATATTAAGCACTATGTCTGCACAAGTACATAGTTCCTAAAAGTGCAGACAAGACATGGCAGAAATCTAAGACAGGAGGGAAAGGGAAATAATGTTGGGTCAGACTTGGAAATTACAAGCAGATATTCTGAAATCCTCCTAAGGAAAGTACAAAGAACTTCTAGCTTCAGGTTCCCAAGCAGGTATTTCTAGTGTTAGTGAATGAAATGTTTCTAAATAAACAAAAAGTTTAATAGAATTAGTACTTATCAGGGATATTGCCGACAAATTCTAACTTGGTAATATTGTCTACCCCTGCCCTTCTAGCCCCTCATCTTGGCCAAGCTTCTTCTGCAAATAGCTTTCTACAAGTGTGATTTGATTCATGTCTGCCATGCCCTATTCTGAGCAGCATCTGTAGCATGACCACTATGGGGGTTCAGATGTTGGAAGAATTTGGGGTGATTCAGGGAGACTAAGGCCCCAGCTTGAAACACTCACCAGATGCTAAGTGCCGGATGACGAGTTTGTGGCAGCAGTTCCAGTGCCCAGCTTTAAATAAATAGAGGGCCTCTAAGTGCTTGTCAGATTCCATGTGTGCTCGTACCGCTTTGGCCTCATGAATCCACTCAGCAGGCACACAAAGTTTCTGGGTCAGGAAAGTCTCCTTAGCCCAAGATTCAGGGGTCTCTGATAGCTGGCAGTGCCGGGTAAGCAGCTCTCGGACAGCCTTCTCACGCATGCTATAAGGAAGAGGGATAAGTTGGAATAAATCCCATCTGTAACTCATGGAAAAGGCTGCCCCAGACAGTTCAGAGTGGTCCTTGGGACAGTCTTTCAAACTGCAGGTCTTGACCCTCAGTGGATCACATCAAACATCATAAAACAGTCAGAAGCCATCAGACTAGCATTTAATTTTTTAAATGAAATAGAAAGTATCCTAAGGACATCATTTATAGCGAAAATAAATATTTTTATGTTACGGAAGGCTGTAAACTCCCCAGACAAGGCTTTTCCCAGCTAGGATCCCTTCTTTATTTGTCTGGTAACATTTCCCTGCCACCACCTAGTAGATCGTGGACTGAGATAGAGGAATTCTGCTCCATAGATCAGAGCTCTGCAGTTCATCCCAGCTTACTCCCTTCCCTTTCTCCCACATGGCCAATGTAACAAAGTAGTTTTTAAGGTAAGGTCTCTTCCAGGTCCTTATTTCTTTTCTTAAAGACATCAGCCTTCCTAATTCATTCTCTCACTACCTCTATATCTAGACTAAATTCTTTCTGCTATTAAGACCCCTAAACAAGAGTCCTTTTCTGATTCCTCAACTTTTCCTTTGATATTCAGGGCCCCTAGATTTTCATACATAAGCTGTTCACTTGTTTTTTTGGGTCTTTGTTGTAAGAGTCCTTTTGGTTTTAAATCAAAACTATTCTTCCTCACCTTGGGCTCTTTTCTGAACTCCTAGGCTCTTTAAGAACTTCCAATTTCATCACAACTGCTTCCTTTTTATATTCGTTTTCAGGGAACAGGAACTGGTCCCCACAGCCAACTCATTCCATGAGTCATCCTATCAGCAAGCCCTTCACCATGTGAAATCCCCCATAAGTGTGTTTAAATAAACTTAAAGGAATAGTCTTGGGTCATTTTGCTTCCTGGTAAGAGGAAAGAGGAAACAGAAACTGCTTAAAGGGAAGGTGATGCTTGATACTTTCCACTTTTACTCCTTTAATTTCACAATCACCTTTGAATTAGGAATTAATATTTACAGATTAAAAAATTGGGGCTTGGAGAGTATAATCTTTAACCAGATTCAAAAGTGGGTAAGTATACAGTGGGTATAAGCTTTACCCTAGATCAAAACTAAGTATACTGTGGATCCAGAATTTAGGCAGGTCTGACTCCAAAACCTAACTTCCTTCTACAACATAAAATATGAGAAGCACAGCATAGTAAGAGCATAGATTCTGGGTGTCTGAGTGGGAAACTTCATTATGTCATTTATTAGCTGTGTGACCATGAGCAAAAGCTATTTAATCTCTCTTGTGCCTCAGGTTGCACATATGTAAAATGGAGATAAAAATAGTATTTTATAGGTTTATTATGAGCACTAAATGAGTTAATTTATATAAAGTACTTAGAGTATAAACATATGTAAAAGCACTTAAGTATGTATTTTTGTTATTATAATACCATCCTGCTACCTTAAAACAGCAATGCAAGAGCGGGGCCAAGATGGCGGATTAGTCAGACGCTTCCCGTGCTCCCTCTTACAACAAAGACCCAAAAAAACAAGTGAACAGCTTATGTATGAAAATCTAGGGGCCCTGAATATCAAAGGAAAAGTTGAGGAATCAGACTGAGTGGCAGGTGGAGGGAGTGACGGTTCGGAGGCAGCAAGGAGTTGCCAGACCTGACCTGGCGGGAGCCGGCACCCTTCAGGCTGGATTGGCTGGCGTGTGCAATGAGGGAAGCAGTGGCATGCAGAAGGCGTTTTCCACATCGGGAGAAACTGAACGGTAGAGAGTCTACTCAGGCCTCCAGATCCAGTGAAAAGCAGTGCTCAATTGGCAAGAGATAAGTACATGCGTCTGAGCTACCATGAGGATCAAAAAACACCCCCTTGGGGAAAAACCTCTCTCCCATTTACCTGCGCCATCCCTGTACTGCACCTGGTCCTGGGCTGGCTTCAGCAATTGCCGAGTCCACTGGGCCAGAAGTAAGACCCATCACACAACCCTGAGCCATTCTCCCAGCCTTGGAGATAAAACAAATTAACAAACAGGAAAAAATAATCTACAAGCTCCCCTAAGCCGGGAACTCAGGGTAGGCACAGCTCCTTTGCCTAGGCACAGGCATAAGGGGTTCACAGACTCTGAATGCCTTTCACCTCTGCAAAGACCTGTGTGGGTCCATTTCAACAGCATAGGCCCTTATTACCACAGTACAACAGGGTCTATACCTGAAGCCTAACTTCAACTGTACAAGCTACATGGTGGAGTGGCAGGTTTGTGAAATTTGACACCGCTCTGCTATTAAGCACAGTCCTCACCTACCCACATCATGGACCTGAAGACTGGTGGCTCCACCCATGCCACCTAGCCACCCGCGACAAGGGTCCAAGAATAAGTGGTGCCTCCGAGTCCTTACAGCCAACAGCATTGGGTGCCGATAGTCTGGCTGTAAAACCCACCCAGCTATGCACTCTAGGCAACAGCGACACGCTATCCTCCCAGAAACTCAGGGGCAGCTGTTAGCCATCTGCCTTCCTCAGAGTGTGACCCCCTACTACAGCCAGCTACCTGTGCATACACCATCACCCTTGCCTGTCTAGGACTGTAGGTGAAAACCTGCACAACACACTTGGTGACCAACTACCTGAACACCTGAGCTGAATCCATACAAGAAAAGTAAACAGCTCCTGGGCTTAAATACCTAGTAACAGACCTAACCACCTGGTGACAGGACGTCAGAGCTTCAAAGGCACCAACAATCAAACTAGCTCACAAAAGCAGCCTATTTGGGCATATTAAAACAAAACAAAACAAGAAGCTAGGACACAGTAAGCAAACATAAATATAATGACATATTGATGGCTCCGAGACAACAGTCAGTATCAAATCACATAAAGAGGCAGACCATGATGGCTTCAGCAAGCTCCCAAAACAAAGTCAAGAAATTTTCCAGAGGAAGAGAACTTCTTGGAATCACCAGAGGTAGAATATAAAAGATTAACATACAGAACTCTTCAAAAGATCAGGAAGGAGATCATGCAAAACACAGAACAAGCCAAGGAATACACAGACAAAGCAACAGAGGAACTGAAGAAGATTAGAGAAGAGCATAATGACAAATTTAACAGGCTGCAAGAATCCATAGAGAGACAGCAATCAGAAATCCAGAAGATTAATAATAAAATTTCAGAATCAGACAACTCAATAGAAAGTCATAGAAGCAGAATTGAGGCAATGGAATTCAGAATTAGTGAGACTGAAGGTAAAGCACTTGACACCAACTTATTTGAGGAAAAATTAGATAAAAGAATTAAAAAAAAAAAAATGAAGAAACCCTAAGGATTATGTGGGACTCTATCAAGAGGAATAACCTACGAGTGATTGGAGTACCAGAACAGGGAGGGATAACAGAAAATACAGAGAGAACTGTTGAAGATTTGTTGGCAGAAAGCAACCCTGATATTGTAAAAGATGAGAAGATATCTATCCAATATGCTCATCGAACCCCACATAAGGTAGATCCCGAAAGAAAGTCACCAAAACATAATCAAACTGCCAAAACCAAAGATAAAGAGAGAATTTTAAGAGCAGGTAGGGATAAACAAAAGGTCACCTACAAAGGAGAGTCAATAAGACTAAGCTCAGACTACTCAGCAGAAACCATGCAGGCAAGAAGGCAATGGGATGACTATATATAGCCTTGAAGGAAAAACACTGCCAGCCAAGAATCATATATCCAGCAAAACCGTCTCTCGAATATGATGGTGAAACTGGGGCATTTCCAGATACGCGGAAGTTTAGGAAATTTGCAAAAAACAAACCAAAACTACAAGAAATACTAAAGGGAGTCCGCTGGTTAGAAAATCAGAAACATCAGATAACAACCCAAGAGTAGAACACAGGACAGAACAACCAGATATCAACCCAGATAGGAAGTCCCAACAGTAAATCAAAGCTAAAACACAGAAAATAGGGAAACAGATGTCAATATGTAAAAGATGACAACATTAAAACAAAAAAGAGGAACTAAAAAATGTAGTCATAGATCTTTCATATGGAAAGGAAGTCAACGTAATATACAGAAATAATAGACTGGTTTAAACTTAGAAAAACAGGGGTAAATATTAAGGTAACCACAAAGGAAACAATCCTACACATCAAAATTAGAAACAAGAAAAAAAGACTCAGTAAATACAAAATCAACAGTGAAAAAGATAAAAAGAAAATACATACAGAAAATAACTCAGCACAGAAAATTAAGGGGAACAAAGAAACTGTAAACACCATACACCCACAAAAAAAGACATCAAAATGACAGCACTAAACTCATACCTATCAATAATGAATGTAAATGGACTAAATGCACCAATAGAGAGACAGAGAGTGGCAGAGTGGAATAAAAAACATGATCTGTCTATATGCTGCCTACAAGAGACACAACTTAGACTTAAAGACACAAACAAATGAAAGCTCGAAGGCTGGAAAAAAATATATCAAGCAAACAACACTCAAAAAAAGAGCAGGAGTAGCAATATTAATCTCTGACAAAACAGAATTTAAAGTGAAATCCACCAAAAAGGATAAGGAAAGACACTATATAAAGATTAAAGGGTCAATACAGCCAGAGGACATAACCATGATAAATATTTACACACCCAATGACAGGGCTTCAAAATATACAAAACGAACTCCAACAGCATTGTAAAGAGAGGGAGACAGCTCCACAATAAAAGTAGACTTCAACACACCACTTTCGGTGAAGGACAGAACATCCAGAAAGAAGCTCAGTAAAGACATGGAGGATCTAAATGCCACAATCAACCAACTTGATCTCATATACATACACCAAACACTCCACCCAAGAGCAGCCAAGTATACTTTCTTTTCCAGCACACATAGTACAATGTCCAGAACAGATGACATATTTATTAGGCCATAAATAAAGCAAGCCTTAACAGAATCCAAAGCACCAAAATATTACAAAGCATCTTTTCTGACCACAGAGCCATAAAAGTAGAAATCAATCAACAGAAAAGGCAAGGAAAAAAAAAATCAAACACTTGGAAACTGAACAACAACTTGCTCAAAAACTACGGAGTTACAGAAGAAATTAAAAATGGAATAAAGAAATTCACAGAATCAAATGAGAATGAAAACACATCCTATCAGAACTTCTAGGACACAGTAAAACCAGTGCTCAGAGGTCAGTTTACAGCAATAAATGCACACATCCAAAAAGAAGAAAGGGCCAAAATCAAAACATTAACCATACAACTCGAACACATACAAAGAGGGCAGTAAAAGAAGCCCTTGGGTGCCAGAAGAAAGGAAATAATAAGAATTAGAGCAAAACTAAATGAAATAGAGAATAGAAAAACAATTGAATTAACAAGACCAAAAGTAGTTCTTTGAAAAGATCAACAAAATTGATAAACCACTGGCCAAGCTAACTAAAGAAAAACAGGAGAGGAAGCAAATAACACAAATAAGAAATGAGATAGGCGATATCACAACAGACCCAACTGAAATTAAAAGAATCATAACAAAATATTATGAAAAATTGTACTCTAACAAATCTGAAAACCTAGAGGAAATGGACAAATTTCTAGATACTCACTACCTACCTAAACTAACACAAACACAGGTAGAACAACTAAATAAACCTATAACAAAAGAGACTGAAAAGGTAATTAAAAAACTCCCAACAAAAAAAAGCCCTGGCCTGGATGGATTTACTGGAGAAGTCTACCAAACTTTCAGAGAAAAGATAACATCACTACTACTAAAGGTATTTCACAGCATAGAAAAGGATGGAATACTCCCAAACTCATTCTATGAAGCCAGCTTAACCCTGATACCAAAACCAGGTAAAGACACCACAAAAAAAGAAAATTACAGACAATATCCCTCATGAACATTGACGCAAAAATCCTCAACAAAATTCTAGCCAACAGAATTCAATAACATATAAAAAAATAATTCAC